TCTTTCTCTTTCCCGATGGAGGAAGACGTCTTCGATCGAACGATTTCTCGAAGAATTCAGCGCGGTATCCGTTCGCTTTTGACGAGATCCGGATGGTTTTTGAGACAAAAATCGTCGGCAATCGACGTCGATTTTAGTTCTCACGGAAATCCGAGGGAATAGATTTGCATTTGTAAAGCAACGTACGTGAGAATCTTCGCGAAAAAATCCGGAAGAAAGCGATTTGCCTTGCTGCTTGTATTTCGGTAGTAGTTTACTTCAATAATGCTTTCTGCAAACGTTCCTAAATTATTCTTTCAACTAAAGAAAGAGAACCAGAGAAATTGATGTATTGCAGACTTGTTTAAAGTAGAATATTATCACGGCAGATTTTCAACATAATTTTATTCTAAAAGAGACAATGAAACTTTGTTCCCTTTCAACTTATCTGAAAATGCAAATGCGGGTATATTAAAGTAGAGAAAGGATCCGATAATGTATCGTTTTTGCTGGATACAACTGGACTTTATATTAATACGTTTATAGTCATGGTTGATGTCGATATCGAAAGTAAAAGGTAAATTGCCTTGTGCTAGTTCTTAGTGCAGCTAAATCAGTTTCACATGATCAACTGTTTCGATATTCGATTCAATTTTGTAGTACTTTGCCAGACGGAAAATTTTTATGACAATATTTAAAACGTATTTTATTATATGCCACATATCCATGTAACCACACTTATATAAAAATATTAAAAAATAAATGAATCTTAAACTTTTGATTGACGTGCAAAAATCGATTTTACGATAAATGAACTGATTATCATACCTACGCGAAAATAATTGCATCTCGCAGCGTAGGAAACTGATTACGCTAATAAAAACTCCACTGTTACTTTCAGAGATACAAGTCTGAGCACAATGGCGGAAGTACCATCGAGATATCACTTCGCGGCTCACATGGGTCAACTGATTTCCGGTATAGAAGGCCAAGGTTGTCATAACTTTTACCCGACATGTCCGTTACCGGGTATTAGAGTTCTCAACATGATGAAGAAGATTCGCCTACGCTAAGGCATGATTATCGTCACTGTCGAAATTGATGATTTAATTAAACCTGTGATATTCTGGATGAGGGAGACCGGGGCTAATAGACTCATTTTTCAATTTCGAATTTTTATAAACGAAATTAGAGACTCGAAAAAATTCTACACCTGTTACTACATACATTTGACTACCTGATAACGTTTTAATAATAAGGGGAAACTGATAACTAATATGAAAAAAAATGCATTTTTCTAATGCATTCCATCTGATTCAACTAGCCCTGGGACCGGAGTAATTCGACTCAGATTATTAAAATAAAGATTAATGTATTTTAAGCTACATCTTTGGCTACATATTAATAAAACTTTTGTGAAGATATATTTCAAACACAAACATTCGCTTCGCAAGGCAAAACAATGCTTCTTTTTGCGAAATTTGTTTATTTTGTGCAAAAATACGTCGCCTAGTTTTCGAGATTGGACATGGAGGGAACTAAACTTATAACATTTACCATTGAGGAAAATCTCTTTAAAAGAATAAAATTTTAAATAAGTGCTATATGAGTCATCACTAAATGAGTCATACAGTTCCATGCTGTGGTTAGTCTACTATCCCCATCCGTTCATTTTTTAAAAACATTAACAAGATAACAAAGGCACATAAACAGAAAAATCTGTTGGACTTTATTAAGTACCCTGGTAGCAAGCTGACGTCAAAGTGACGTCATTTGACATCATTTGATGACAAAATAACGTAGCTTGCTACCTGGGTAACTACACTTACTATTTAAGTAATCTTCAAATATGTTAGACAATCATATACGGTTGTAAAACAAAAATTTTAAGAATAAAAATATTTACTTAGGTGTACGATTTTTTAAAATTGTGGCTATAACTTCTATCATAGATGTGTTCGCAGCAAGATATTACAGCGCCAGTCGCTGCTGCATGCTCAGATATGTTTACGCGCGTCTGGTGTGTTTTGTTTTTAATGTAGCTTCGATTATTCTACTTATCTCTATAGTCAACTGATCCTGGTCTCCCCTACTTCGTTTTTGTTCGCACTCAGGAGTATTAACATTATAAGAATACAATTTGCACAATGATAAATCGCGTTTCTGACGATACAACATGTAAACAATACTTAAGTTTTCGTGATAATAATGTTAATTACTGAGAGAAAAAATGACAATATTCTGCGACATTTCAAAATCTCGGTTGGATCGTAAAATAAAAATTTTAGCTCGTAAATTCATATTGCAGATTGTTAAAATTATAGAAAAGTATCTGAATTAATATTGACATTCAGTTCTTTCCATTAATTTTAGAAAATTATTCTATCAATCTCTGTAATTATTTGATGTGTAATAATTTAATTGTAAATTTAAAAGATGACACATGCATTCATATGGATGTATTTGTACTCAATGTTACTGTTTATTTATTTGTAGGTTATTAATAAGTAGATACTTATCGTCTCGCTTATCATTACTTTCACTCACTTTTGATACACTGTGGTCTTGTAGAATTTATTTTTAGATTTTATATTTTGAAAATTTTGTGTAATGTATAATCGCTTATTTTATAGCTTTCTATTTACTCTGTATATATTTTAAACGAAAAAAATTAATAAATTGTAACTTGAAAATATCGAATTTCACTTTATGATTATAAAATATTCCTATACTCTATATAATTTATAACTTTAAATTTTATTTTATATTTCATAAATATTATTTTTATATAATGCGTGTATATAATTCTTTAATTTTATACTTGCACTTCCAAGCTTTATTTATTTCTATGCCTGCGCCAGAATATTATCATATTTCAATGAGAATAGCAAAAATGTAGACAACATACAGCACGTTCTTTTTTTTTTATTGCGAAATATTCTTCCAGTCATTGCCATAAGTTCATTGTATGCATACGATCCCGAAATCGTGCATTTCCGTAGGAAGTCCCATGGTGAGGCTTTGCCAAATTATCAGCATTCCCGATCTCCGTTCTGTATCCTATTCTTTTTCCTACTTTAATACAAAAGCGCTGCCATCCCCAGATATAATCCGGAACCCAGCGGGGAAACGCGCGAAAATTATTAGAATAATCGTCGGCGTCTTTATCGACTTAAGCCCGATGCCAACTCGTCCCGAGTGGACATTTTCCAACGAATCGTGCGATCGTAAACGAGATCATGCCAAGAGTCTCGGTTAGCAGTTAGAGCTGGAGCGATACGCGAGGACAAACGGGATGTAATATCGATGAAACCGCGCCACTAACCGTCCTCACTGCCCTCCGAAACAGCCAGCGACACATTTGGAATTCTCACAAAAATTATCGCACGATATCGTCGTTGGAGTTTATCGACGTTTCTTGCATCGATGCCAAGCCACGTGCGATTTCCAACTGCAACTTCCAGCTCCTTTGTCGTTATACATAATACAGCCACAAAGAGGTGAGGTCAGAAAACTTTATCGATTTCAAAATAACGGATGATTAGTAAATGAGATTAATTATTAATTTAATCTATTAAGACATTGATAGGCTGTTGTAATCGCTAAAAAATTCTTTGAATACTTGGCCTACATTTTTATTACATTCTATCACGTAACGCTTGTATTGTGCACTGCGCATATAATTGAAGTTTTGATATTTAAAGATAAGACAATATAGCTAGGAAAGGAAAGCAAAACGTTAATCATTAAGCAATAAATTAAACAACTTATAATCTGTACATTGTATTATTATATATAAATCTTTGAAACGTTCATAACTTGTAATAAAAATAAATTTCGCTTTGTATATGCTGCGTGTTGTATATAATATCCTTTAAATTATTCGAATAATTTTATATGATTATCATATAATGAGACAGAAAGAATTTTTTTCGATCTCTCTTTTTTAATATACTTGTTCAAAAACGCCAAAAGTTTTTCAATTATAAAATATCACGAAGTTTCGAAAAATATTGTCCTATTTCAAATTGCCTTGTTAAGAATTTAAAAAATCGTTTACGAAAAACGTTTAACGTTAGTGTTAATTTACGAGAAAATGCTTTCTCGAAGTTTAACTTAAATATGTGATATCAATTTGCTAGAAAATATCTACTGTCTAAATCTGAATCAGTGAATAGTCACTAATTACCCAGTGACATATTTGACACTGGATAATCAATGAAGTTCAACTAAAAAAGAAAGAATGTTTGAGCATTATAATTAAAATACTAATTTAGACTCTCAAGATCTTCTAACTTTTTTCACTTATAATTTACTGCGTTTTACATTATTTTTCAAAGAATTAATAATTTATATTCATCTGAGGATGGCTCAATCTCGTAGCCGAAACATATACGAATTTTTGTAATATGAATTTTTGTAATAGAAAGATTTTATTTTGAATATTTGTAAAGTATAAAATAATTGTTTCTTTTTTTCTTTAATATATGTTTTTATAACTTTTTAATTTTAATTAGATATATTTATTTATTTGATTCTTATTGCCCTGTCGATGTATTAACTTTTTTTTTTATTACAAGAGTTCTTTACTTTACTATATAAAATATTGATATTTGCACGTTAATTTCAATCTTCCAATATCATTCATTAAATTTATGCACTAAAACAAGATTAATTAGATCACAATAAATATTAGTTAGATTAGGGATTTCACATTTCATTCACTGATACCAGTGGCATACTTGGTACTAATATCAGTGATTATCCACTGATTCAAAGAATAAGTACATCATAGCTCAATTTAAATAGAACGTAATACGTGCAATGTTTGCATCAGCAAGTCGACCTTGGAAGAACCAGTTACAAAAGTTATGTCTGCGAAATTTGTTCTCAATGATCTGATGATGAAAAAAAGCGAAGAAATCCTCGAAATGATGTATTAAATGTTACATGTAACCAGCTTGGATCGAAGACTTCGGCAACGGGAAGGGGCAATCACTTTCTCTTCGTTGGCATGAGCAACAGCCTCGTATTCTGAGGAACATTCAGCAACAAGTTTTTACTAAAGCAGCAAGCAACCGCCGGTTTGTAGGCTGCTGAGTTTTTGACCGATGCAAAGTCACACGCGGGTACATTGACGTAGTTGAAGTGCGTGTTTCAGGTGATACGTGTTTGCATGATTGAACGGGAAAACATATCGGTGCGGTAGAAGTGCAGTATACGCATCTGTTATGAATTGCATAATCATGGTGCTTTGAAATAACAGCGGTCGATCTATTCGTGAAGGTGCGATTGAATGATTTGAACTATGTGAAGTGCGTGACTAAGGTTTCATAAATAGTAGAAAATGTAGAATTTTATTGAAGAAAAAAATGAAGGATTCGATTAATTGAAAAATTTTCATAACGCATAATGTAATTCATGTATAAGATGCTTTTTCTTGCATTATTTTTATAGTTTATAATTTTGCATCCAGAGAAAAGGTTGCTTCGATTGCTTTAAAGAAATGTTTTTTTGCTATACGACTAAAAAAAAAATTTCTTTAATTTGTGAAAAAATTTCTTTGATTTAAACATTATTTTTTAAAAGCAAATAAAATTTATTTGATTTAAAAAAAATTATGTTCAAATCTAAGAAATGACATTTAAATCATAATTTTGTCACAATGAAAAGAAAATCAAATCAAAGAAATATTTTCATTTAACCAAAATTTCTTTAAATCGAAGTAATCTTGTCTCTGAGTATGTAACAATCATAGAAAAAATAAATTTAAAAAATGAATTAAGAAAATATTTGTAAAATATAAATTATATTGTAACGCGCTTTTAATTATAAACGGGAAGATTATTTCCTTACATGTACACTAATATAAAGTATTTTTTTTCATGTGAAATAGAGAAAGCTGCACGACGGAAAGAAGAAGTATTATTCACGCACAATAGCGGAAGTTAATCTCAACGTCCGTTTCAGTCGAGTTGGTTTCACAACACTTTTTACAATAACTAACGAATGTCTTAGCTCTACTACATAATGCAATTGCCGCGGACATTCTTGCGCTTTGGTTGCTACTTCTTGGTATTAACACTTGTCACAGTGGCCGGTCAAAACGAACCACTCTTCGAAATTCCGGTGCAGTTGATCGGTTTTCCGATAATTATAGCAAGTGTAAGAATCGTCAACTTCCTCAAGAAGCTCGCTTATGCTTTAAGTCCAGGTAATGCATACAGAAAATATATATTTTATAATAATGTAATTCTTATATTCACATATTGCATACTATATTCATATATTACATATTATATGACCATATTTTTTTGTTATAATGATCGTCGAGAGCGCGAATAGATTATTATTGAAGTGACAAAAGAGAAAACATAAAGATTAGTAAAAAAATATTACCAATATTAATGGTTCATCGAGCATGAAAGCAAGAAGATTACATGTCATAGGTTATTTGCCTTTTCCGCGATTAGCTCACTAGATACGTGACTCAAATCGACGAACAGCGAAAACGAAAGTGTTCCACTTGTTACAACTTCTCTCTCCGATCACGAAGCCATGTAATGACTTAGTAATTGACCGAGGTTGCTTACCGTTAAATGAATACGCCAAGAATTAAAACAAAATAAGGCTATTACAGCGAAATTTTAAATGCTTTATAATTATCAGACGAATTAAGACAACAAATTAAGATCATTGTATTTAAAAAAATTATGTTACTTATTATATTATGCGCAAAAAATAGCAAAAATTTTTAACTTCATAGATAAACAGTTATTAAATTTCAATAAACTAAATCAAGTCTTTACATTACTTCGTAAACTTTTAAAAGTATTCTCTTTGAATTCTTAGATACTTATGTCAATCGAGTGAAACGAGCACATCCTTTGATATACGACGAAAAGATCTTAGACGTCGACCAAGTCGAAAAGAAGCTAGTAGCTGAATTCGGAAATAATGTTTGCATCTATGAGAAAATTTGTGTCAAGTACGCGGAACGATCTCTTCAAAGAAGAAGTTGGGAACGCGTTCTTAATTGGAATGAAGTATTCAGGTATGATATAAACTGTATTATTGTAATCGCTATTTAATTTATCCGATAATTTTAATAAATATGTAATATACTGAAGATTTATATTCAACTAATATCAAAAAGAAATTATAATATTCGGAAAAAAAGTTGAAGAAATATACGTTCGACTTACTCAGGACGAGGGAGCATGCATTATATATCTTTCATTGCATTACGCAATCATGATTCTGAAGTTCATGGTTGAAAGAATCTATATCTTGAAATCAGGTTTCATGGATGAATATTTTACCTTATTTAGGAAATATTGTACAATCGGTAGAGATTTTTCTTTTAACAAATTCGTTAAAACAATACGTAACGAAATACCATCATGCCAATGTCTTGCGCAATGCTATAGGAGAGACCGGTTATCACAGATTTTTATTAATGATTTTTAGAAAAAAATAGATATTTGATTTTGAAATATTATATATACGTATAATATATATATTATAATATATATCTACATTCTTTAGGTATTAAAACAAATATTATTCATGAATTTATATCATAAAAATAAGTTATTTAATTATGAAACTATACGAAAATGTGACAATTAACCCCTGGGTTGATTGTCACACATTCTAGAATTGACAGTAGCACATTTGTTATGGATAACACATATAAAAAATAAATTTTTATTTTAATATTAGTTCTATATTTTAAGAAATAATAGTAATTATGGTATTAATACAAATAAAATAATTATTTTAATTATAAAATACGTAATTTGTTTTTGTACCGTAATTTCTATATGAAAAATGAAAAACATATATACATATCTATAATATATGAAATATAATAAATTTGTAAGTATATTCTCTAAAAATGTATTCTCTAAAAATATTAAAATTAATTGTCACCTAACGTCGTCAATCTACCCCACATAGCCATTTTTAATAAAAGAGATTGTATTTACAAACTTTGTCATAGGATAATGATTAATTAATTGTAACAAAAATCTTCTAAGACATGTCATTTTCTATGAATATAGGATACCGCGATTAATAATGCCAACTTGTCAGACAACAAAATAGATGATAAGAAAAATTTACTCGCCAATTTCATTTTCTTAAAAATCATTATAAATGATATATACAATGTTTGTGGTGGAAATCATTTTACAATAAATTAATATCAGCAATCTACAGTCAAGAAAAGAGATTCTTCTGTCTTGTTTGAGTTATAAGCATTTTGACAATCAATCCTAGTCACGACAATCAGTCTTAATCTCCCTAGTATGATAAATATATAATGTAATAGATACTTATTCACTTTTGCAAGATTATGGCATTAGTAACAAATATTAAATTATAAAAATGAAGGCAAAAAATTATAATTTTCTATTATAAATAAAGATGACTTTTCTTTTTAATATATGCGAAATAAATCTCAATAAATTTGAATCTCTTTTAAGAAAAATTCGAAGAAATTATTTAATGTAAAATTAAACATACCTTATAAATAATTAAAACTTAAAGTAAAATTTTAAAATTGTTAACACGTTAGTGCAAATTGTTTAATCATTTTATATTTTAGTAAGATATTAAAGCAGATGTATTCCGTAACCAATCTTATATCATATTTCATTTGTCAAATTGTCGAAAGAAAAAAAATGTTTTCTAATTAGAAACAAAAATTAAATCCCCATCTGTGAAGACGCATGACACATAACGTTTAATCGATCAAAGACGGTCGAGACGTAATGCGTCGTAAGATCATAGTGGCGACGATAACATCAAGATACGATCTACAAATTCTTAAAAGGAGTGTACCCAGAGATGCTCTCCGTTAATGGCGACAAGTTTTTCCTCCTTCCTGCCCTTGTTCTTCACGCAGCCGTGGGAGATCTAATAGAAATCCCTGCTACCATCTACGCGCTCCGTGCAACCATTCTCCGTCTTCACGAAGCTTACACTAAATTCAGTTGTAAGTAACGCCAGGAGTTGATAGCCTTTAATGGTGCTTCCACAGGCGCTCTAATGCATTCTGATAGCTGTTTCTCTTTCTTCATCGTCACCCTTCATCGTTGACTTCTCTTCTGATCATTCTCGTGCCTCACCTGCGTGTCCAAGTAGGCTGCGTTTTATGACTTGGTATCTGGATCTGTAGGTTTGAGGATCTGTCGTCTTATCTCGGACCTCCTAATGCCCCGCGACTCGAGATAGCGAGCACGTGTCGCCGTGCCTGTCGACGCACGATGCATCTCTCCAAGACGCATTTCGTACTTTCGAGGGTTTCCTCCTCGTCACCTGCGGCAACGTGCGAGCACCTCACGTAGTAGATAGGAATATTCAAGATGCGGGAGACTGAGAGATCCGTAGGAGTAGAAGAAGAGTAGATAAATTGGAGATTGACGGCAACTAACCGTCTAGACGGACTTAACCGACCATGTATGAGGGACAAAGATTATCCCAGACGCCTTCTCCGACTAGTCTTGGGGAAAGCGATCGACGATGGAAGGATTGTAAGAGAAGTGGCGTCATTAGAAATTAGGAATCCATTTAGAAAAGATAGTGATGTCGCGTAGACAAAAATAATGACGACTAAGCGATAAGAGCCTGTTTTATAGGCGATGTGACGCAGTAACAAACATATATATGTATATATACTTAGGCGTAGAAATATTATATTTCTTATCGTATTCTTATCGTATTTCTATTTTTTCCTCTTTCTATTTTTTTTCTCTTCAAAAGGAAGACTTTTATCGAATCTCTCTTCTAATATACATTTACATAATGCAATAGCCAGTATAGAAGTAATATTATCAGTAATTTGAGTCATTATGATCTTGCAGGGAATACAAGTCATCGTCCAACTCGATGAAAGAGAATTACTTGCTGAGCGTCTTTATGGGTGACATTATTGGCAATCCGAAGCTATGTCACTTATTGGCAAAGAGAAGCAGAGCCTGCGATAGTAATTTGTTCGATAAGAAGTGAAGAATTAGAATTTTAATTAAATCATAAATCTTGATGCCATAAACTTGAAATATTCGCGATTTCAAAATAAACTATAATCTGTTTTTTTTTTATATAATGTCGATGCATGGGTTTGTATAATCGTAATTGTTGTATGAAAGATATAATTCCTTTTTATTATTAAATTATTATTTCTAATATTATTAGTCAATTGATCTTTTAAAATAGATCGTAAATTATTTTTAACAAGAAGTGCAAATTAAATACATAAAAAAATTGTCACGAGAAATATATGATTATATAATACAGCAAATGTATAATTATTTTAATATTTTATTTGCATAATTATAAATTCTCTCAAACATATCTTTCACTTCACTTTGTGTGATTTCGTATTTCTTTCTTTCGTGTTTCTTCAATTCGCTGTATTCATTCGTTGTCCATGACATAAACAGTTCTCATCAATGTATAACGTCACGTAATACACCATTGCATGCAAAATTTACTGTTATTATGTGAAAATAAATTGTTTGACATTTAAGAAACCATACATGAATCCTCTTATTTTCAAAGAGTTATTACGAAAATTGTGCCATTTCGTGTTCTTTGGCAGTATGTCCACTGATGTACACACACGGATTCGAAACGCACATATGGAGTGAGAGTTGCTTATAGTGACGAATTACTACCCACGTCTTTCTGACCAAACAGCTAACTGAGAATCGGTTTCGAAGAAAGTTTCAGTTGGTTCGAAACCTAGAAAGGCGACGATCGTTTGCATTATGAAAGAAATAGTTAAATTCGATTATATTGTTATACAAATAAAAAATTGAAATAAATAAAAATTCGTGACATAATTAGACATAAATTTCTTATTAAAGCGCTTCGTATCGTTTGCAAAGAACGTTAACATTATGGTGATTTTATATAATAGGATGTTAGAGTGAAAGTGTTTTAATATTGGATATATTATATTTAACAGTGCATTAAAAATCCGTAAAGTTACTAAATTTTACTTCTATCAAGATATTTGTATTTATTAAAAATAAAAATAGTTTACAGTTATACTTCAAAATGATAAGTAAATTTATCTTCGTTTGGTGCCTCTTGTATTTATATTCCGAAGCTCACGCCGAACATTTCTCACAATATTTCCAAGAATCATCTGACAATACTCAATGCATTTTTGATGTTCCTCGAAAGATTTACAATGTAACAGATTTATTACGGTAAGTAACACAATATTCTCTATTTAGAGTAAATCGAAAAAAATATTTAAATGAAAATTGTATCAAAATGATAATAAAAAGTCATCTAATTATTGTTTATGTTCAATTAATCATACAGATGCATGGATGAACTCGCTATCGGTCATTTCGTTCAAAATAAAGATCAATCATTAATTATAGGACGAACAAGTCAAACGGATTCGTCAGATTACGAAGAAAATTCTTATGGATTTCCTTATGGAAATATAATCTCAAATTTACTTAATATTGCCCAAGTTCCATCGGTAGGTTCAACTTGTATGTTTTTAATATATTTCGACAATATAAAATTTATCTCTTTTTATTAATACATTAAAAATATTTTAGTATATTGATATTTTTTAAAATATTTTACAGGATTATAACAATGTCCCATTAGATTTTAATATTGGAAATTATCAATTAAATACGCTGATCAATCCTCTCAATCAATTTGGTAGTCTTGGAGCAAATATCTTTAATGCTATGTCATCAATCTCTCGCTACGATGATCTGAAATGCGTATCGAGAATACTCTGTGAAGTGGCGAGTGGAAATCCTCCGGGAGAATATAAACAAGCGGAGAACAATGAGCAATATTTAGAAGAATCTGGAAGAAATATTTTCGCGCAGTTTGTATTTTTTCATAAAATACAAAATTAAAAAATTTACAATAACATATGACGCATTCCATTAATTCATTATAATAAATAATTAGGTGGTTTTTTTATATTACTAGGTGGCTCACTGGACTGGCACAAGCATCTCCTATATTAAGTTTTGCTCGAGCTACCGTTTTGGGTTATAGCAGTAATGGAAATCCAGCAATGTGTTATCGCGCATTTCCGAGATGTCCGCGTAATCCCGACAAACTGTTGCATTATCTGAACAATCATAATGGTGGATTCTTTCAGTTCTTCAACAAAGGCGGACGTAAGAGATATTCTCAATCATCTTACGCTTTGCAAGGTAGAGGTTTGTATCGTAGATTTGTCGCAAGTGACATTTATAATTCATGCTTTTGTACGAGTTAAATCACATTCATTTCTTGACAGATAATTCGGAACTTCGCGAAGAAAGAAGACGGAATGCTCCGCCGCCGAATATTGCCGGAACGGAAGCTGATCATACTGGAACGGACAAGCTAAAGTTCGATTTCTCCGTTTTGACAAATCAAAATCGCGGAAAAAGCTTCTTTCCAAGGGAAAATACATTGGAAAACTCGGGACGAATGATTTTCCCAGATTATGAGGAATCGAATGGTCGCCCATTGAAAAGTAGAATTTCTAAATCCCTGTCAGACTTACGAGACTTTGATGTAAATACATTTCCACGAGACTCTCCACTGGTTTTCCCTCAGGTAATAAAATGTCTCTTTATTATGTCTACAATTAGAAAAATTAACGAAAGTAAAAAACAATAAAAGACAAAAATATAATGAAAATAAATAACAAGCGATATATAAGCATATAATTTTTATATGCTTAATGAAATGAAATATTGAAACATAAAATATTTTCTAGGATTCGAAGGCTCAAGCTGTTCACGTTTTACGTTTTATTCCTGAATCTTCGGACTTGGTATCTCACAATACATTTCAGTTTCCACATTAATATTCTTCAATTTTTTCGTTACAAATAAATTTTCAAATATTTAGGATTATTTATTGCTATACATTTTTATTTATAAATTAATCGAGATGTTACATATGTGATCCGAAAAAAGATTAAGTTAATTTTATTGCTACTGTTATATATCAACTGATATCCGTAAACACTGATAAATATGTATTTTTTAAATTTATATTTTACATTCTATGTCCAAATGGCTCATAATGGGATATATAGACGAGATATATGTATAGACGAGAAAGTGAACAAGCTATTCAACTCTTTTTTTTTATGTTGTATTCATCTTTTCAATATTATATAGTTATTCAATCCTTTCATCCATTACATCACGCTATCGATGTGCATAGTCAGCAAGAGACCAGAAATTGTAGACTCAGCTGGAAATGCAATTTTGATTTGGCAAACACCATTCTACCATTCTATACGACAAAGCATATTTTATTCTCGCAAACTCAAAGGACAAAATCCTTGGTTTATTCCGCTTGACCTTTTCTCACAATGAATGATTTTACATCTTTTGAAAAGTTATCTTTTGTACGTTTTTTGAAAAATATAATTTGAAAATTAATAGCTTAATTAAATATAAAATATATTAAAGTTTATATAAAAATACATTCTGTTAAAATAAATTTTCAAAAATTATTAGTGATTGATTTTATATTATGTATTGTTTTCTGAAATGAAAAAGAAAACACATCTTGCGGCATTTATACGAAATTTCTATTGCAATAATTATGAGCAGAAAACACAATACAGATGATTTCCGGAATTATGAATTATTCTTGGCATTCACTCATGAAATGCCGTTTCAGACAATATATTTACCGGAAGATTCTCCGCTTAGGTCTAAACTGACACGCGATCCCCCTTGAGCGTAATAATTTTCGATTACGATCATGAATTTTGCAAAAGCAAGGCGATAACGTTTATGAGCAACTGTGTGTATAGCTTTCCCGCTACAGCTCAGTAATTTTAATACGTGAGGTCGAAACTTGCTCGACAGGTGATCGTACGCGGTCTTCCTGAAACTCTTCCTATTCATTTGAGGTTTTGCTGTCTGACTCGTGTTTTCTTTTCTCGCGTTTCATGTGATGATAGCAACACCTTGCGTTTCTCATATATGCTTGCGTGCGTGAACAAATACAGGAATTACTCGACCTGCAGCTTGAAATATACATGAGTCAGAGATGTATATATTTTTCGTTAAATCTGCATTACAGTTCTTTCGACGATGATTATACGAATATTCAGACTGATGATAACATATATGCGGCAAATAATGATTTAATTTCTCGAGATTTAAATAATCAAGAAATTTAAATAAAATATTTGGAGATTTTATATGCGTTTTGTTTTTAATTTTTAAAAAGTTACATGAAAAAATAAATTTCCTCGTAAAAGAAAAAATTACTTTCAAAGAATCCATCGTTTATAAAAAAAAAATTGTTATTAAAGTTCCTAAAGAGAATACCAAGTTGCAATGTTTTTTTTTCCATTTTCGGTGTGAAAAGTTTGTCACGCGGGCTCGCAGCTGCAAAATTCACGTATGACTTTCTCCAAATAGCGGTTCACCGCTCGGTGACGCTGTAGAAATAGAACGACGCGCAACGTCGAAAAAGCGGCAGACAACATGTAATTATTTTATCCTTTCTGGCGTGTAATTTGGGGCGTGCACTACGCTCGTGAACTCGCTGACTCGATGCAGGGGGGAGACGTAGAAATGATGTGGCCAGAGTCCACGGCGATGCCGTAGCCCAGAGGGGCGTGTGCCTTGGACAGGACCAAGTGGGGTGCAACTGACAGCGGAAGACAATTAGCCTTCTGATACATCCAATGTCGCGTGATATGTTCCGTGGCATGTAGGAACTTTACAAAGATTCGTTTCACGCATCGCAACACGTGGGACAAAATATAGGAGGTAACGGAAATCTAGTAACCGTTGATTCGTAATCTGTTGTACAAAGTATAATACACAAAGTTATGCAATTAATAACTGATTCAAGTATATTATATTATATCTGATTTTAATGTTTAAGAAAAATTTTTTGGTAAAGAGACTTTGATGTATTAGAATTTTCGAGTGACATCACAAACAATTACAACAATTTTGAATGGGAAAAGATTGAGAACTGTTAAATGACGCCAATGGGGCATAGTAGCAGGTTGTAACAGGTTTAGCCCCCCTCTCCCTTTCGGGAGAGGATACGATCTGCAACGATCTCCGTCGTCTATGCCATAATCTCGTGCCTATTAGTGCGGCATTATTTTCCGTGGTAGACATCAAAGAGGATTTCCCGCGGGCTCATTGTATCGCGACGATAATTCCTCGTTATTAGCAGCCGCCGTCGTCGGAGCGTTGGTCTCATGTCGGCTTACCACACCCCAAGTGCCGAAACAAATCCTCCCGAATTGGTAGTGCCGATGCAAAGGAGGTTCTACGACGCATAACGCAATAGCTGCGACAAAGGATCAGTCCGGGAGGTCGGGGAGATGGCGATTGTGGCGGCTAATCCCCGTGAAAAATGCGTTGCAGGTGGACGAATCCACCGTCGCCGTCGCCACTCAGGTGAAGCCATGCTGGGGAAGAGAACCGAGTTTTTCCGACACGAAGGGTGAATTAACAAGATATCCTTGGTGATCTCCGAATAGTCGACCCGAGAAGTGAAATTTGCGAGGGTTTTCTAAATTTGCGATGAACTCGAGCGCTACCATTTTGCCAGTGATCGACATGACAAAGAAGAAAGATAGAAAGGCAGAAAGATACGACATATAATATCATCATTGAAGAAAAATGTTGCACTTCTCTACTAATTAAATTTTAAAAGAGATAAAACTTGTATATTTAATAAACTGATTTTCTTTAGAGTATACATTAACTTTTTTATTAAATGCTATACGTAGTTTGCGTTATTAAAGTAAGGAAAGTTTGCGCAGTTTATGCAAGATATATATGTGCGTTGGCTACAATCAAAGCCCGTTAAATCAAACCCTAGTAAGCAGCTTTAATGGTTCGTGATTTAATCAGGCTGTAGTAGCTACTACGTTCGAGTTGGCCCGAAAATAAGACATAAATTCTCGAATACACCCACCTATCGCGCGCGCAACCATAAAACACTGCCGCGATCTTATTTAGCCGTATATTTTTCCCCACGAGCTGCTCACAATGCCCCAATATCTTACCGTCGCAATATACTACGGGCTATCCTTTTCTTCTCGATGGACTTTTCAATTCGGGATATCGGATCTTTGTCACCGGGACCGAGGACGCCAATTCGCCTGCACAAAAGGACCGCGGCGACCGTAGATCTCGTTGAAAACTGAATCCCCGTCGCTCCTTCTTTCCCTTCCGCCCATCCGCCAGTCGCTTGATGGACAGAATAATTCGGTGAGAATGAAAATTCATGTCCTTCGGCGGTCCTTCCCTACTACATACGATTCGCGCTAGGGTCCTCGAAAGCCCGTGAAATCCTGACGTGCTGGTCAAACCACCGGATAAGTGGGTATCTGACGGTACAAAAGAAAAGATACCCTCCACCTTTCACTATCACTGTCCGCCAGATTTTCCTTATCCCTCGCAGATACGTGCCAATTGTTGGCCAAGACGAATGGCCAAACAGTAATAAATCGGTATGGACGTAGTATTATACTCTATTGCTTCTTTAAAAAAAAAAGTCTCTTTTAATATAAAAAAAAAACAAAAATAAATGACGTAAAAATTTACAAAAGTAATTAAAATTTCTTTATATATTTACTTGATATCTTATGGTGGCTTTTGATATTTGTTATGAGTCTTCTTTAAAATATTTTTACTACTGGCAGTGTTTGTCACACGCGTGCAAACAAAGACACACACTTACAAAACCTCAATTCTTTAGTCAACGCGCAAAATTTACCCACAGTTACCGCCGTTAATGCAGACGATCCTCCCCCGTCTTTAAAAAAAGCACTTTACTCGGCAGATCAGTTTTCAAATCGTTCATAAATAATGAATCCGGCTGCGGGTTGTACCGTGCAACGTCAGTCAGCCACGCTGATTGCAGCATTGAGGACACGTGTCGCGGATCAATCGTCAGACGCGTGTCAGTATTTTCGTATCATCGCCGAAGGGTGCTCTCTACTCGTCTCTTTCGTTCTTTTTCTACTACCTTTTATCCCGTCAGTTCTCTTCCTCCTCCTTCACATTCGACTACTTCCTTCTTCTTTTATGTCGTCGCCCCTGCTGCTTCGAGTTTGCACGCAAAGCCAAACGAGTGTCACAGGGAAAGCCAAACGACGACGTGCAGGATCGGGTTTTTTAAAGCGACCAGACGCTTTAATGCGACCGAGATTATGCGGCTGGACCGAAGCTACGGATTTCGCTCGAGATCGTCGAATAAGGGGCGTGCAAACAGAGGTCTAAGAACATCCCTCGGTTCGTCACGTCGATCGCTTGTCAGCTGCTGGGATTTGCTGGTTTTTAATTAAAAGAGCTGGCAGAGTTTAGATACGGTGAATCGGTAAATTCGATTACGGGTATAGAACCGTGTAAAGTAAGGCATAGTGTGAAAATTGCGTTTATGATAATTTTTCTAAAATACATATTTCGAATTACAAGAGAATGAAGAAGCTTTTTTGCAAAGTAAATGTTGATAAACTATTCTAGTGAATTATTTTCTTCCCGAAATGTTTGCTATACAAGAATTAATTTAAAAAAAATCTATCGTTAAAAATAATACACGATACCAGTGTAAATCGTAAAATTAAGATTCTCCTTTTCTTGCAACTATATTTCTAATGCGCACAACGTAAAAGTATTTTTCAAAGCGATACATCAACAAATGAAATCTCTGCGCGGCGCAGCAACATCATAACTCTTTCGCGAAGGAAATTATCGCGACGTGCCGCGCAAGATGAGCGAAGAACGAAGCGGCTGATACCTTCTAGGAAGAAGTTAGGTGCGCTGAAACCTTGAAGTCAGACGGAGAAAGAGAGAGAGAGGAAGA